TTTAAAGGGCTTTTGCATTGATCTATTGATCGAATGAATGAAGGAAGGAAGGAATGAATGGTTAGCTGACTTGTTGGTTGGACAATGTATATACACTCGCTCACTTAGTCTCGAATCTAACCAGGAATGTTTCATCTACACACGTGACAAGGCATAGCACAGTTCCCCTAAAAAATCTTGTTGCATGGGAGGCCACAAATATATACACGATACATCGGAAACCAATCTAAATTCCTGTTTGTGTGTAAGTTTAATATCCCGACTTGATAATCTGCGCTGTGTCACTGGTTGTTTGGTAAATGAATCATGTACTGGATATGTTTATACACTGTACAGCTCCTTGTGACGTCAACCCGTGAAGGTCCGGGTTAGAATATTGATCTTCAGTAACCATGCTTGTCGTAAGAGGCGACTAACGGGATCGGGTGGTCAGGCTCGCTGGCTTGGTTGACACAGGTCATCAGTTCCCAATTGCGCAGATCGATGCTCATGCTAGTGATCACTGGATTGTCTGGTCCAGACTCGATTATTTACAGACTGCCGCCATATAGATGGGATACTGCTGAGTGCGGCGTAAACCTGAACTCACTCACTCACTCCTTGTGACGTCAGACAACATTCACTCACAATAATTGAATATCATTTAGAGGTGGCACACGTAAAGAGGGTTATGGGTGTGTTGTGGGGAACAGGATGTTTCGGGGGATACTCTTACTCCCCCATCAGGTGAATGGTAAAGGAGAAAGAATATACTCCCAAACGTCATGTTCCTCATGGTACAAAAGTTAGCATTCATAACTATCCCCCGTTTAACATTCAATCATTTCTTATCACAACAAGTCTCATATCAACACAACGTACATCAACCTCTTCTATTGTATAAACCAATACCCGCCATGTATATATTTCTCCTTGTGCAAATGTTGTGTATCATTTGCTTGATAACGGCGTTAGGATCTACACCGAAACTACTACTGCAACAAAGAAGTTGTCTATCCATAAAAAGTGTTCCACTTCAACACACCAGCTTCTAAATGCCACTTAAGGAAGAGGACCGCCTCCGTGGTGTAGTGGTTAGAGCGGAAGGTCGCGGGTTCGATCCCCGACCGCGTCATACCAAACGACGTTAAAATATGGTACTTGTTGGTCCCTGCCTGGCGCTCGGCATTATTGGGTACAACAAGGACTGGTCGGCTCGGAGTCAGTATAATGTGTCTGAGTGAGGTATTCATGCTTCACTGCGGCATGGTATCTCAGTGGGCTAGCACTATAAAACCAGCTTAAGTCTGGGCTAGTACAAGCAGCCGCACAGACACATACACACGCATGCACGTCGTCATATGAGCGAAATATTCTCAAGCACGACGTTAAACCCAATTTCACCTCACCTCACTTAAGGAAGACAATCACTAGTATTTGAAATGAAAGCAATAGAGCTCTTCCGTTGTCATCGGAGTTCGATGCCCAATTTAGAGACGACTGTAGCAAAACGACGCAATTAATTCAATGTTGTTTACATCTTACGTCTCTTCGACCATTCTGTCGTTGTAGCAGTCACGTGTATATGATAGATGCGAGATGAACATACAATCATTTCGATTTCCAGTAACTTAGTAGTTCTCTTAAAACCCAACGTAAACGCCTGCCTATTAAAGATGTTTTTGTTTTGTTTCCCGCTGTGAATCACGACTAGCATCAATGAGACTCTAAGCATGTTTGCATGATCCATCTTGTTTAATGGCGACAGCGGTAATGTTAAAATTCAAACACGTACTTCAGGATACTGACAAAGGCTAGGGCTCCTCAATTCAACGAGGTGGAGGTTATCGCTTCATCCATGCATGCTATTCACACCTGGACTGTCCGAATCAAATGACCTACGGCCGTCTAGACTTGTTTTCGACTTCAGGTTCTAACAACCTATTGTGTGAGTCCTGCTGTTGTACCACAATAGTGACTTTGCTATTGACCAGTCGTAAATGTGTGAATGAGATTATTCCTCCACTGAACGAAATTCAATGTCGGTTCACAGTTAATTGATCGGCGGCCCTCTGTGTATGTATGTTCTGTGTTTGATGTCTTAATGGGACACTTAAACTGCTTTGGTTTACGGGTTAATGTATTTGATATTGACAAACTTGCCCAACCAGTTTCTGTACTGTCCCCTCCAGAAGTAGTCAGTCGGGTGTGTGTCTTCGGCGTGGAGAAGTTGGTATTCTGAAATAAAAAATATAATCTGTTGTCGTAATCCTAAAACAATATTAAGCAGCATTACACTTTACCTGTATATTATATTTTCAATGAATAATAAACACACATCTGTCCGCTGTCTGAAGCGGGTGAGGGAGTGAGTTTAGTTCTACGTCGCTTTTAGCAATATTCAAGCAATATCACGGCGGGGGACAAGTGACATGGGCTTCACACATTGTACACGTGTGGGGAATCGAACCCAGGACCTCGGCGTGACAAGCGAACGCTTTAACCACTTGGCTATCGAACCGAACCGCTGTCTGTATGTTTGTTTACACTCATTCTACTTTGGAAAACTTTTGCCCAATTCATATAACCCTTCCTGTCAAACAGATTCCTGATTAATGATGTGATTTAGGTTTTCAAAACACTAATAGGCTTCATTGTGAAATAACAAATATGCACTTTTATTCTCAATTATTTATAGGCCTCGATCTTATGGCCCGAACGCTGTTTGGTAACAACAAATGCAGACCTTGTTAGCGGCAGTGTCTAGTTTAACATTGCCGATGTAATACCAGGTGTCATTACTAATTGTCACTGATCAATTCCAACAACCTTCACGTCTATTTACCTTCTGTGCCCAACTGAAACAGCTTCTGTCCAAATCGGGAACGTTAATTATTTGGCGTAGAAGAATTTACCGCCAATTCTATTAACCCTCACTCCCAGCTTATGGCATTTTTCTGCTTGTTTTGTCCATTTACCAGCTATATGGCTGCTATCTGTAAATAATCGAGTATGGTCCAGACAATCCAGTGATCAACATCATGAGCATTGATATACACAACTGGGATACAATGACATGTGTCAACTGAGTCAGCGGTTTGACCCCCCGACCCCGTTAGTGGCCTCTTCGAACAAGCATGGTTGGTTAAAGACCACTTTCAACCCGTTCCGTCACGCGTTGAGTAGTAAACTGACAATCCCTTATACTACTACGCATTTGGTATTAGCAAACATTCTTACTGGTTAAGTCCTGCATACAACTATGGCATTTCTGATTTTCAAGATTCTCAGGTCACAAAAACGCTAATGACTATTGACAAAAGGGATTTTTCTGTTACATGCAAACGTTGCCTTCAGTGAATCTCTGAACCAATACTTAGAGAGAAAAAACACAAATATTAACACAGTGTCAGTCCAGATTTTCTGGGAACAACGGCGATCGTGATTGCCTGCAGGGAGGTATACCTACTTACAGTAAAACTCAGTCATGCACCACCTTTCATGACCGCAGTGCAGATTGTCCACCAGATACCGTCGGTCCGCAGGCAACGGGATCTATAGAAACTGCTAGAAGCCTTCTTAACAACAGTGATTAGTGTGTCTACATCTTTCTATCTATAACAGTTTATTCAACCGGATGTCCTTGAAATCTGGCCTCACTTAACGTGGTACATTTGTGCCGGCTCTTCATCTTATTTTCCGGGATGTTGTCGCAGCACGATGTCACAAGGATGTCGTGATGATGACGAAAGAGTTACCTGTACAACATTAGCACCTGTAATGCATTGCACGCGATACGGATATTTAGATCTTTGTCAATATGTAAAAAGAAAATTCACTTTAATGATAAGGCTGTTAAAAGCAAATATATCATAGTCATAAATCAATTAGTTTTTCAACGTGTGAGGTACTTTTAGGTTGTGTTGTATGGCACGTGTTAAAGAGCACATTTGGATCACGAATACTTTTCATCGTGACACGTTGTTAAGCAGAGCCAACTAACGTCAATAGAGATACACATGGGGCATGTCGTGACGTCATCAACTACCAATATATCAGTGCGTGTATTTTATATGTTGATCTTCCTGTTTGTAGAAGGAGTTCAACAAAAATCGACGTCCAGGACACATTTTAGGTCAAATGGTGATGTACATGGCGAGCGTTTTCAACTTTCTTGCATTATCTACCAAATGTCGTGCCGTGGATGTGTATCACTTTCTGTATTGAGCATAGTGCTTGGACTGTATATTTTCATTGCTTCAGTTTTAGCTTGTGTTGCTGTTTTTCGTTTTCGTTTTTATTGTTATTTTTTGATGTCTTTTGTTGTTGTTTTTAGCAGTTTCATTATATAATGGTAAAACTTCTTTTGGTTGTCAGTTTATGTAACTAAATACCAGAAAGCTTCTTTCCTACACAAGGGGGATAGTTCTGTGGGTATGCAATTTTAACATTAAAGACACGGCGACATTTCGAACGTATCCCCGTTACCAAGCAGGCTACTTTTACAACACAATACACCGTTATAATCCAGGCTAGCTATTCTCGAAACGTTCGTAGCCCTACAAGCTTCTTAAGCCAATTCTTAACACATTGGTTACGATCAAAGTTGCGAATTCTTTGGGCTACGAACGTTTCGAGAATAAGGGCCCAGGATCACGCAATTATATGTCAAGGTTTTAGCACTAAACCCGTGTTTGTGGATTTGACGAGGTGGAAAACATCCTAGAGCTGCATTGGTTCGGTGTTGAACCCAACTCACTCACTCACCGATCGTCGTGTACGAGTGAGTGCGTGCTCCGTGTAATATTTCAGCAAGGTCACGAGGACATTGTACCTTTGTAGGGAATCGGTTATTCGGCGTAACAAGCAAACGCTTGAAAATGTTGGCTATCCCGATAAAACAGCGTGTACCGAGAGACACCTGAGTATGGCACGCATACTGAACACATCGGCTTGTGCTCGTGTAGCGTTTAAATTTATACATGTTTGTACAGTTATTAAACTCTGCTGATGTTTGCCAGGGATGGAGATGCCCACATACTGCGTCTCCTGGAGCACCAGGTGTCGGATACGGTGGGACTGGACTCTGAGATCGACTACAAGACCTTCAAGAAGATCCTCAGGGTCAAAGACGTAGGACGCTTTTCGTACCTTCACATAGCTCACATAGTAGTGTGAGTGAGTTGAGTGAGTGAGTGAGTGAGTGGGTGAGTGGATGAGTGGATGAGTGGGTGAGTGTGAGTGAGTGAGTGAGTGAGTGAGTGAGTGAGTGAGTGAGTGAGTGGATGAGTGGATGAGTGGATGAGTGGATGAGTGGATGAGTGGATGAGTGGATGAGTGGATGAGTGGGTGAGTGGGTGAGTGGGTGAGTGGGTGAGTGGGTGAGTGGGTGAGTGGGTGAGTGAGTGAGTGAGTGAGTGAGTAATCGAGTGAGTAGTGAGTGACTAAGTCGGTTACATGTTTACATTCTATCGGCATATTGCAGTGAGTGATTGAGTATGATTTTACACCGCTTTTAGCAATATTCCAGCAAAATCACAGCGGGGGACACAAGAAATGGGCTTCACACATTGTACCCTGTGGGTAATCGAACCGGGGCCTTGAGCGTGACGAGCGGATGCTTTAACCATTAGGCTACCCCACCGCACCCATATTGCAGCCATATCACCATGTGAACAGGTTACATCAATATTAAAAAAAACGTGTTTCATCAGAAAAGTTAGTGTAATTGAAACTTGGGTTATACACTACTTCCAAAAAGAGGTAGACAACGTTATCAGGAATCATATGCTTCCGGGTGATAATGCGTGTAATTCTGTGAACAAATTTAATTCCTAAGTGTTTATGTTCTTTCGCCCCACATCATTGGCTGATGATTGACACGTCACGTGACATGGAGTACTGTTTCCGCACACTCGTACTGTGCGAAAGGTGCATGACACACTCGCACACGCAGACACACACGCACACGCACACGCACTCACGCACCTGCCCGTATATTATTATATGATATTTATGTAGAGCACATATCCAGGCAACTAGTGCTTGCTCAAGGCGCTGGTATTTTTTCCCTCGATCATTGGATGTCAGTCTCAATGGCACATCTTGTTATCAATCTCAACTCCCTGGGGATCATACAACTCTTGCAGCCACTAGGCGCACCGAGTTATTGCGGCTTTCTCATCCTAACGAGGTGCCCATTCACAGCTGGGTGGACTGGGACACATAGTCACAGTACTTTGTATATCCGTCGAAACCATGTGTAGTGCAATAACGGATTGGTGTCCTCGTGTTCTATCTCAGTAATGGTCAGGTTGATAGTTAACATTTCTATGTCTATGTCCCATTTCTTCTCTTTGTAGTCGTTTTTTGGAGAGAGGTATTTCAAGCTGTTCGACACAAACAAGAGCGACACTATCGAGGTATCCGAACTACTTGCGTCAGTGAGGAAGCTCACACAGGCTACATCAACAGAGAAACTCAACTTCCTCTTCCAAGTGTACGACCAGAACGGTATGTTTGCCCCAACACATAGTTTTGTTTGTGTCCTGTTTAAATTCGAACAACGTTATATGACCGGCCTGCAAATAGAAGTGTCTGGAACAAAAAAATCGGAGTCTGGACCAGACAATCCAGTGATCGATATTATAACCAACGACCTACGCCGTCGTGTTGCTAGGATTCACTTTTAGCCAGGATACGGAGCCTGAACACCCGTTCGTTACGTCGCCTCTTGCGACCAGGGTAGTTTGCTCAGGGTAGTTTGCTCAGGGTAGTCTCAGGATACTCTCAGGGTAGTCTAGTCGTTGTATATGACGAAAACAAGTATGTTCGTTGTAAACGTTGATAGTTGGTGTGTGTTCATATTTGCTGGCTGAAAACGTTGATCGTTATTATTCGGATAAGTGCATAAATCTTCTTGTACGAATTATTTTCTTGATAAGTAGTAGTATTATTCCGAGGTCGAAACGACATTAATGTTGCAACAGGGGATCTGGTTGTCAACCCTGACATGATTAAATAGATGCATATATTCGTATTGGTACTGCTCAGACAGATGCTCAGTATATTAATCACTGGATTGTCATGCCTATACTAGACTTCAGTAAACAACGGTTATAACGAACTGAAATCACCACTAATTTCAGTTCGTCATAACCGTAGTTGGTCGTACGCATTTCGACTAAAATATGCATGAAGGGGCCGTGATCAAAGAATGGTTATCCATCAGTTCATTATCCAACAGTTCCTTATCCACCAGTTCGTTATCCATCAGTTCGTTATCCATCAGTTCGTTATCCATCAGTTCGTTATCTATCAGTTCGTTATCCACCAGTTCGTTATCCACCAGTTCGTTATCCACCAGTTCGTTATCCATCAGTTCATTATCCACCAGTTCGTTATCCATCAGTTCGTTATCCACCAGTTCGTTATCCATTAATTCATTATCCACCAGTTCGTTATCCATCAGTTCGTTATCCACCAGTTCGTTATCCACCAGTTCGTTATCCATCAGTTCGTCATCCATCAGTTCGTTATCCACCAGTTCGTTTATTGTATTTACAGACCGCCTTAATATACAGGAATGTTGAGTGTGGCTGTTTTTACATCCAGCAATGCTGAAGGAGACGAAGAGATTATATCTGACAAACATCGTAGTGTTTTGACCCTGTAAGAAAGCCCTGGTCCTGAACACGTGTTTCGTCCTGTCATGTAATACCGTGTACAGCCTGTTTTTCACCAATAAACACATTCCTTCTGGTGTAACGTGGAAGAGAAGATTATGACACAATGTATCAAGTTTTCCCTCCTGTAGATCATTCGACATTTGAACGTATACAACGTGCCCTAAAGTCCCTACTAAAGAAATACCGCATTCTCCCTTTGGTGCTCTGAAGCAAAACCTGTCCTTTCTATCCATGCTTCCATGTACAAGACGATGGGAACGAGGGGCAGTCATTGGTGGTGTAATGACTTCAGGTCACAGTGACCCCACAGGGCAGATCAGTGCTCATGATAACATCCACTAGTTTACCGCGACAGGGCTTAGGACAATCTCTATAAAATCAGACTGGTTCTCGCTCCGGCAAAACAGCCCTTGAGGGTAGCGCCAGGACAACCGTTTAGACCGTCGCTTGCCAGATTAGGATATGTGACAGCAAGACTGGGGTCTCCGATCATGCAGCCTCTAAACGTTACCGACAGTTACTGGCTTTTCGACTAAGTCCGAAAAACCATCACCCGTCTCTTTTCAGTGCGTAGATTGATGCTCATGCTGTTGATCACTCGATTGTCTGGTCCAGACTCTATTATTTACAGACCGCCGCCATATAGCTGGAATATGGCTGAGTGCGGCGTGAAGCTAAACTCACTCACTCACTCTTCAATGGATAAACGAACGAATCTTTGCAATAGAGAGAAGTACTTCAATACAATCTAGACCATTTATTAGTCATTCAGGAATGAAATACTGTTAAGTTTTCGAATGCATTGCATACCTTTGTCAAAATAGTGTTTTAACCATTGTACCCCGTTTGAAAATAGTGTAAACATAAAGTTAGAGAAACCTGCTTTCTGACTGATGTCGAAGTTCCTTCTATTGGTTAGTGAAAGTTTGTGGAGTGATTTATGTTAGATTGGGGCTTGCGGACAAACGCTTTGATGTTGGTAGAAAGGACGTTTGTGCATTGTACAGTTGTTGGTTGGTTTGTTGTTTAACGCCGCACTCAGCAATATTCCAGCTATATGGCGGCGGTCTGTAAATCATCCAATCTGGACCACACAACCCAGTGATCAACGTCATAAGCATCGAATCTACGCAATTGGGATACGATGCCATGTGTCAACCAAGTCAACGAGCCTAACCACCCGATCCCGTTTGTCGCCTTTTACGACAAGCACGGTTTGCTGAAGACCAATTCTAACCCGGATCTTCACGGGTATAGACAAGCATTGGTGACTGAAGATCGACTCTAACCGGGATCTTCATGGTAGACAAGCGCTGGGTGCTGACGATCAATTCGCGGGTGTAGACAAGCATGGGTTGCTGAAGACTAATTCTAACCCGGATCTTCACGGGTGTAGACAAGTACGGGTTGCTGAAGACTCATTCTAACCCGGATCTTCACGGTAGACAAGTACGGGTTGCTGAAGATCAATTCTAACCCGGATCTTCACGGGTGTAGACAAGTGCGGGTTGCTGAAGACTAATTCTAACCCGGATCTTCACGGGTGTAGACAAGTGCGGGTTGCCGAAGACTAATTCTAACCCGGATCTTCACGGGTGTAGACAAGTACGGGTTGCTGAAGACTAACTCTAACCCGGATCTTCACGGGTGTAGACAAGTGCGGGTTGTTGAAGACTCATTCTAACCCGGATCGTCACGGGTGTAGACAAGTACGGGTTGCTGAAGACTAACTCTAACCCGGATCTTCACGGGTGTAGACAAGTACGGGTTGCTGAAGACCAATTCTAACCCGGATCTTCACGGGTGTAGACAAGTACGGGTTGCTGAAGACAAATTCTAACCCGGATCTTCAAGGGTGTAGACAAGTACGGGTTGCTGAAGACCAATTCTAACCCGGATCTTCACGGGTGTAGACAAGTACGGGTTGCTGAAGACTAACTCTAACCCGGATCTTCACGGGTGTAGACAAGTACGGGTTGCTGAAGACTCATTCTAACCCGGATCTTCACGGGTGTAGACAAGTACGGGTTGCTGAAGACTAATTCTAACCCGGATCTTCACGGGTAGTATATAGGTCGAACCTTCATGTTCGGTGTTAACGACTTGATTTCGAGGGACTGGCTAAAAACTATACGATATTTTTTCGACATGTGTCTTAGTGCTCATCATACCCCGGGTTCGAATCCCATCATGAGTACGGCATCTTTGGATGTCCTCCGCCATGGTAATGCTGAACTATTGGTAAAACTGTGTAAACCCATAACCACTTAATGCTGATATCTCCAATAATGAGATAAGTGGGTTGTACGTTCATGTAAATACGTGATCAAACTGACATATGAGATAGAGGTCAGTGTCACGTGTTCGTGTACAAATGTATACGGGAACGCAGTGTCTACGATGACATCTCCCAAGGTCTGAGCACATGAAAGTAAATTAGGCGTGTATTTACTGAAACTTGTTGAGGTCTAGTGCATAAAACCTGACGCTTGTCGTTGACGACTCTGTGTACTTAAGTCATTAGTTTTAATAGCACGAATGACTATAACGATTATTTCGCAATGATTTGTAGGGTATGACAAACCTCCTCCAAGCGATATTTACTCAAGGCCATGTGACACATAGTCACATTATACATACATACAGGGGGACTTTTATGGATATCACCTTCGATGACATAAAACACGACATTTCGGAGTATGTTCTTTCTACTTCATCTCATAAGTTATAGCAGCTTCGAAATTATAAACACGCTTATATGTACAACGAGTTATCACTGGCAATATTTATCAAATATTTCTCACTTTCGAGAAGTGACATAGACGAAGGAGAGTAATATCGAATAATTTAGGGCAAGAATTTCATGGATTTCAGATTGTTTGTTTTAAGGAATACGACGTTTCAGATTTTACTACTTCATCAGATGAATGAAAAAGATCCAATTAACTACTGGTTTCCGTTGTTGTTATTTTAGCTTTACATTTTTCAAACGATACGTATTGTGATATATTTCCCAGGACCGGTGTATTAGGGACCATTGATAATTTATGGCTAGGGGGGGGAGTGATGACGATTTTTATGGAGAAGCATGTACAATGTGAATGACCCCCCCTAAAATTTATGGACAAGGCAAGTGACCCCCTTGCATGTTATGTACAAATTCAATGACCCCCCTCCCCTTCCCATATTTTTAAAGCATGATTTTGAAATATTTTTATGTACAAAATTGCTGACGCCCCTAGAAACATGTGTACAAAATTGATGACCCCCACCTCCCAGAACAAAATGGGTGACCCCCTTAAAATCATCATCACACACACCCCCACCCCACCCCACCCCAGCTATAAATTATGAACGGTCCCTTAAGTAAAGAACATCTGTGAAGTTTTTGTGATTATCTTTATGGTTTAAATTAGTCTACACAGACTTCCATTCACAACAAATGTTTCCTTCGTTATTCAATGACAAAACGGCATACTATCATGCTATAAATTGGATTTAAAGAAATTAGAATCCCTGACTATGCAACCTAAGTTTGAGATCACGTACTGTTATCATAATCATATCATATATAATCATTAGGGACTTATAATGTGGGAAATAGGATCGACATGTACCATTAGTGTCGCTAACTGTCAAACACTTAAGTTCCCTTGACATGTCAATACGGGTACCTGACTCGCAATATATTGCAATCCAATTTATTTGCAAAAACACAGCCATATATCTTACCACGTTGTTGTTTAACATGTACTTATATCTGCTTCCTGGTTGTTTTTTCATGCCTTAATGCGTATCACTTCTATATGTCGTGGACAGACCTTATCGAAGTGGTTGTATTCTGACCCACCGCTGACATAACACAAACAGGTGTTTACGTGACACGCACACATGCTGAGTCGTACCTTGTGATTCACCTGACTGCGTGACTAACTCGCAGGGTGGTTGTACCCAGGTGTATACAGAGTGCTCATTGGGTTCAATGGAGTATCATTGAATGTACGGGGACACGTCTAAAAAAATAATATCAACACTTATCAAATAAACTGTACCTGTGTTCGACGTGGGAGATTTGAGGTAGACCTATTGAGACATGAATGCTATTTAATGTGAATGTTTGGCCACATGCATGCGAGTCTCTTTGGTGTGTGTGTGTGTTTTCATGCGTGCGCGTGTTCGTGCGTGCGTGTGTGTGTGCTTGTGTAAAAAAGTGCTAGCATACTGTACCGCAGTTTGATATGAATTACGCACTCAGACACATGGGCACTACACTGAGTGACCACGAGCCGACCTGTGGTGTCCCCTCAACGCTCAGAACCGTACAGATGAACTCGGTATAACTCGATATACTTCGGTATAGCTCGGTTTAACTCGGGATTGAACCGCCGACCAACCTCTATTTGTGAAAAAACGCAAGCCACCACAACACGGAGACCTTCCCCACATGATGCGTCTGCTAGGAATAATATGTTACAGACATAAATTCCTTACAACACGCATGCCATGTTGGGCAAGTGGTATTGGTGCACTGGTGCAAGATGACGGGCGGGCTGAGAGGTTGATGTTGGGGTGTATAACCCTGTTAACGTTATATCAACATAACGTATACACTGCGCTTCCTTCAAGGTGACGGTTATATCCACATGACGTATACACTGTGCTTCCTTCAAGGTGACGGTTATATCCACATAACGTATACACTGTGCTTCCTTCAAGGTGACGGTTATATCCACATAACGTATACACTGTTTTTCCATCAAGGTGACGGTTATATCCACATGACGTATACACTGTGCTTCCTTCAAGGTGACGGTTTTATCCACATAACGTATACACTGTGCTTCCTTCAAGGTGACGGTTATATCCACATAACGTATACACTGTTTTTCCTTCAAGGTGACGGTTATATCCACATGACGTATACACTGTTTTTCCTTCAAGGTGACGGTTATATCCACATAAAATATACACTGTTTTTCCTTCAAGGTGACTGTTATATTCACATATCGTATACACTGTTTTTCCTTCAAGGTGACGGTTATATCAACATAACGTATACACTGTATTTCCTTCAAGGTGACGGTTATATCCACATATCGTATACACTGTTTTTCCTTCAAGGTGACGGTTATATCCACATAACGTATACACTGTTTTTCCTTCAAGGTGAAGGATATATCCACATAACGTATACACTGTTTTTCCTTCAAGGTGACGGTTATATCCACATAAACTATACCTTGCTCTTCCTTCAAGGTGACGGTGATATCCACATAACGTATACACTGTTTTTCCTTCAAGGTGAAGGATATATCCACATAACGTATACACTGTTTTTCCTTCAAGGTGACGGTTATATCCACATAAACTATACCTTGCTCTTCCTTCAAGGTGACGGTGATATCCACATAACGTATACACTGTTTTTCCTTCAAGGTGAAGGATATATCCACATAACGTATACACTGTTTTTCCTTCAAGGTGACGGTTATATCCACATAAACTATACCTTGCGCTTCCTTCAAGGTGACGGTTATATCCACATATCGTATACACTGTTTTTCCTTCAAGGTGACGGTTATATCAACATAACGTATACACTGTTTTTCCTTCAGTGTGACGGTTATATCAACATAACGTATACACTGTTTTTCCTTCAAGGTGACGGTTATATCCACATGACGTATACACTGTTTTTCCTTCAAGGTGAAGGATATATCCACATAACGTAGACACTGTTCTTCCTTCAAGGTGACAGTTATAAATCCACATAACGTTTACACTGCACTTCCTTCAGAGTGACGGTTACGTCCACATAACGTATACACTGTTTTTCCTTCAAGGTGACGGCTATATCCACATAACGTATACACTGCGCTTCCTTCAAGGTGGCGGTCATATCCACATAACGTATACACTGTTTTTCCTTTAGGGTGACGGTTATACCCACATAACGTATACACTGTTTTTCCTTTAGGGTGACGGTTATACCCACATATCGTATACACTGTTTTTCCTTTAGGGTGACGGTTATACCCACATATCGTATACACTGCGCTTCCTTCAAGGTGGCGGTCATATCCACATAACGTATACACTGTTTTTCCTTTAGGGTGACGGTTATACCCACATATCGTATACACTGTTTTTCCTTTAGGGTGACGGTTATACCCACATATCGTATACACTGTTCTTCCCTCAAGGTGTAGGTTATATCCACATAACGTATACACTGTTTTTCCTTTAGGGTGACGGTTATACCCACATATCGTATACACTGTTTTTCCTTTAGGGTGACGGTTATACCCACATATCGTATACACTGCGCTTCCTTCAAGGTGGCGGTCATATTCACATAACGTATACACTGTTTTTCCTTTAGGGTGACGGTTATACCCACATATCGTATACACTGTTTTTCCTTTAGGGTGACGGTTATACCCACATATCGTATACACTGTTTTTCCTTTAGGGTGACGGTTATACCCACATATCGTATGCACTGTTTTTCCTTTAGGGTGACGGTTATACCCACATATCGTATACACTGTTTTTCCTTTAGGGTGACGGTTATACCCACATAACGTATACACTGTTCTTCCCTCAAGGTGTAAGTTATATCCACATATCGTATACACTCTTCTTCCTTCAAGGTGACGGTTATATCCACATATCGTATACACTGTTCTTCCTTCCAGGTGACGGTTATATCCACATAACGTATACACTCTTCTTCATTCAAGGTGACGGTTATATCCACATAACGTATACACTGTTCTTCCTTCAAGGTGACGGTTATATCGAAATAACGTGTACACTGTTCTTCCTTCAATGTGACGGTTGTATCCACATAACGTATACACTGTTTTTCCTTTAGGGTGACGGGTATATCCAAATAACGTATACACTGTTCTTCCTTCAAGGTGACGGTTATATCGAAATAACGTGTACACTGTTCTTCCTTCAATGTGACGGTTGTATCCACACAACGAATACACTGTTTTTCCTTTAGGGTGACGGGTATATCCAAATAACGTATACACTGTTCTTCCTTCAAGGTGACGGTTATATCGAAATAACGTGTACACTGTTCTTCCTTCAATGTGACGGTTGTATCCACATAACGTATACACTGTTTTTCCTTTAGGGTGACGGGTATATCCAAATAACGTATACACTGTTCTTCCTTCAAGGTGACGGTTATATCGAAATAACGTGTACACTGTTCTTCCTTCAATGTGACGGTTGTATCCACATAACGTATACACTGTTTTTCCTTCAAGGTGACGGTTATATCGACATCGAGGAGTTACAGACGGCGTTACGGTCGTGCATGGTGGAGAGTTCGGTGAAGCTTGGGGAGGAGGAACTGGACATGCTGACTCAGGCATTATTTGAAGAAGCAGATGAAGACAACAGTGGACAGATTACCATTGACGAATTGTCGGCGGTGATTCAGAAAAACCCTGGAGTAAAAGAGAATCTATGTGTGGGGTGAGCTACAGTAACATTTATCGGAGGTTTTGAAAACCACACAGCATTTGTAACCCGATCAACTGGAGGATTACTGGTCCAGTCTTGATAATAACCTCGATGATTGTCCGTGTTGCCTGGACAATGTTTGAGCATGCGCTTGTTTGGGATTTTTTAAAAAGATTTTATGATTGGCTGGATCCTATTCGTCCACACTTTTGGCTGTTTATATGGAGAAATTGTCTTGTTTGTATTTCAGTATAGAACAATGGCTTAAGCCTCCCACTAAAGCCAAGAAGAAGGGCAGTCGGTATCTCACTAAAGCCTACATCTTCAACAACCTCCGGAAGATAGCTTTCTTTGCCTTCCTAATCCTCCTCAACTGCATCCTGTTTGCCGTGGGCTGCTGGAACTATCGCACATCCAACTGGTGCATCATAGTAGCCAGAGGGTGCGGCCTCTGTCTCAACTTCGACTGCACCTTCATCGTTGTCCTCATGCTGCGGAAGTGCATTACCTGGCTGCGTGCGACGCCGGTTAGTCACGTGCTTCCGCTGGACCAACATATCATGTTCCACAAGTTGACAGGCATCTTGATATTGCTGTTTACTATTCTGCATACTGGAATGCATATCGGAAACGCAAGTACGTGTGCTACAGTTTACGTTTTTGGGTATAGTACTGCTTTACTGTATACAGTATATACTCTTTAGTTACAGGGTATTAATAGTGCAATACCGATTTACCATACTAGATATAGGCCATGCAATATTGGGTGTTAGCCGTGCTATGACGTTTTGCTATACTGGGTATAGGCCATGCAATATTGCGCGTTAATAAAACGTGCTATGACGTTTTACTATACTGGGTATAGACCATGCAATATTGGGCGTTAATTAAACGTGCTATGACGTTTTACTATACTGGGTATAGGCCATGCAATATTGCGCGTTAATTAAACGTGCTATGACGTTTTACTATACTGGGTATAGGTCATGCAATATTGGGTGTTAATTAAACGTGCTATGACGTTTTACTATACTGGGTATAGGCCATGCAATATTGGGCGTTAATTAAACGTGCTATGACGTTTTACTATACTGGGTATAGGCCATGCAATATTGGGCGTTAATTAAACGTGCTATGACGTTTTACTATACTGGGTATAGGCCATGCAATATTGGGCGTTAATTAAACGTGCTATGACGTTTTACTATACTGGGTATAGGCCATGCAATATTGGGCGTTAATTAAACGTGCTATGACGTTTTACTATACTGGGTATAGGCCATGCAATATTGGGTGTTAGCCGTGCTATGACGTTTTACTATACTGGGTATAGGCCATGCAATATTGGGCGTTAATTAAACGTTCTATGACGTTTTACTATACTGGGTATAGGTCATGCAACATGGGTGTTAGCTGTGCTATGACGTTTTACTATACTGGGTATAGGCCATGCAATATTGGGCGTTAATTAAACGTGCTATGACGCCTTACTATACTTGGTATAGGTCATGCAATATTGGGCGTTAATTAAACGTGCTATGACGCCTTACTATACTGGGTATAGGCCATGCAATATTGGGCGTTAATTAAACGTGCTATGACGCCTTACTATACTGGGTATAGGCTATGCAATATTGGGCGTTAATTAAACGTGCTATGACGCCTTACTATACTGGGTATAGGCCATGCAATATTGGGTGTTAATTAAACGTCCTATGACGCCTTACTATACTGGTATAGGCCATGCAATATTGGGTGTTAGCCGTGCTATGACGATGTACTATACTGGGTATAGGCCATGCAATATTGGGTGTTAGCCGTGCTATGACGTTTTACTATACTGGGTATAGGCCATGCAATATTGGGTGTTAATTAAACGTGCTATGACCTTTTACTTTACTGGGTATAGGCCATGCAATATTGGGCGTTAGCCGTGATATGACGTTTTGCTATACTATTGTGCTGCATCGCGACTGTCGTCATCGGTCATGTTCCCATCTTTGTTACAGTCTTGGTAGCCGAGAGTCAGTACAACCTCACCGTGCCTGCCTTCATCTTCACCACACAGGCAAACATCGGCTGGGTGGCCGGCTTCGCTCCCCTCTCTGGCGTTCTGCTCGTCGTCGTCTTCGTTGTCATGTTCATCTGCTCCATGCCCTTCGTCAGGAGGAGTGGATGTTTTGAGGTACATGAAAATAGTTTGAGTAAATAAAATATGTATGCATACAGGTATACCCTCTGACTTAAATGCATCACTGTATGTTTGAAGCCGTTACTTTTGGAGTGTTTGCTTTATTGACCACAGCATTATCTGGTTCTATACTGACATGTGATCTACTGGATCATGTGTTCCATGTCATTGCTACCCGTGAAGATCCGGGTTAGAATATTGATCTTCGGTAACCCATGCTTGTCGTAAGAGGCGACTAACGGGATTGGATGGTCAGACTCGCTGACTTGGTTGACACTTGTCATCGGTTCCCAATTGCGCAGATCGATGCTCATGCTGTTGATCACTGGATTGTCTGGTCCATTATTTCCAGACCGCCGCCATATAGCTGGAATATTGTTGAGTGCGGCGTGAAACTCAACTCAATCACTCACTCCTTGTTATTGCTTCTAGATGCTCTGCTGAAACCGTATGAACTATGCCAACTTGGCAACACTTTTTGTATGACTATATCCGTGATTACTATAGGACACTAATGATCCAAGTTCCTATTCCAATGTGTTCGTCTGGACAACACATTTTATTTTTTTATCTCAGGCATTTTACGTCACACACATGTTCTATGCTACTATTCCCAGGTGTTCTACGTTACATACATGTTCTATGCTACTGTTCCCAGGTGTTCTACGTCACACACATGTTCTATGCTACTGTTCCCAGGTGTTCTACGTCACACACATATTCTATGCTACTGTTCCCAGGTGTTCTACGTCACACACATGTTCTACGCCACTGTTCCCTGGTGTTCTACTGGTCACACATGTTTTATGCTACTGTTCCCAGGTGTTCTACTGGACACACGCGTTCTATGCTACTGTTCCCAGGTGTTCTACGTCACACATGTTCTATGCTACTGTTCCCAGGTGTTCTACGTCACACACACGTTTTATTCCATATTTCCAGGTGTTCTACTGGACACACATGTTCTATGCTACTGTTCCAAGGTGTTCTACGTCACACACATGTTTTTTGCTACTGTTCTTAAGTGTTCAACTGGACACACGCATTCTGTGCTACTGTTCCCTGGTGTTCTACTGGTCACACATGTTCTATGCTACTGTTCCCAGGTGTTCTACGTCACACACATGTTCTATGCTACTGTTCCCAGGTGTTCTACTGGACACATGCGTTCTGTGCTTCTGTTCCCTGGTGTTCTACTGGTCACACATGCTTTATGCTACTGTTCCCAGGTGTTCTACTGGACACACGCGTTCTATGCTACTGTTCCCAGGTGTTCTACGCCACACACGTTTTATTCTATATTTCCAGGTGTTCTACTGGACACACGCGTTCTATGCTACTGTCCGCAGATGTTCTACGTCACACATGTTCTATGCTACTGTTCCCAGGTGTTCTACGTCACACACATGTTCTATGCTACTGTTCCCTGGTGTTCTACGTCACACACATGTTTTATTCTATATTTCCAGGTGTTCAACTGGACACACGCGTTCTATGCTACTGTTCCCAGGTGTTCTACGTCACACACGTTCTATGCTACTGTTCCCAGGTGTTCTACGTCACACATGTTCTATACTACTGTTCCCAGGTGTTCTACGTCACACACACGTTTTATTCTGTATTTCCAGGTGTTCTACTGGACACACGCGTTCTATGCTACTGTTCCCAGGTGTTCTACGTCACACATGTTCTATACTACTGTTCCAAGGTGTTCTACGTCACACACATGTTCTATGCTACTGTTCCCAGGTGTTCTACGTCACACACATGTTCTATGCTACTGTTCCCAGGCGTTCTACTGGACACACATGTTCTATGCTACTGTTCCAAGGTGTTCTACGTCACACACACGATTTATTCTATTTTTTCCAGGTGTTCTACTGGACACATATGCTGTATGTTCCCTTTTGGCTGCTACTGATCCTGCACGGACGCTATTTCTGGATGTGGTTCATCGCCCCCGGATTGATGTTCCTCTTGGAGAAACTGTTTCGCTCCAAACTGATCAAGAGGATGAGATATGGAAACAGCTTCATCTTAGAGGTCAACCTGCTGCCCTCGGAGGTATGTCTGTATAGATCTCGTGCTGCATATTCTCTGTACGTGATATCCACAAGCTTGTCATGGTCTAGGATTTAGTGACGTTAACCTCGGAGGTATGTCTGTATAGATCTCGTGCTGCATATTCTCTGTGCGTGATATCCACAAGCTTGTCATGGTCTAGGATTTAGTGACGTTAACCTCGGAGGTATGTCTGTATAGATCTCGTGCTGCATATTCTCTGTACGTGATATCCACAAGCTTGTCATGGTCTAGGATTTAGTGACGTTAACCTCGGAGGTATGTCTGTATAGATCTCGTGCTGCATATTCTCTGTAAGTGATATCCACAAGCTTGTCATGGTCTAGGATTTAGTGACGTTAACCTCGGAGGTATGTCTGTATAGATCTCGTGCTGCATATTCTCTGTACGTGATATCCACAAGCTTGTCATGGTCTAGGATGTAGTGACGTTAACCTCGGAGGTATGTCTGTATAGATCTCGTGCTGCATATTCTCTGTACGTGATATCCACAAGCTTGTCATGGTCTAGGATGTAGTGACGTTAATGTATTCTGCCCCACCACCGGCAGCCGGTGTGACAAGACACGCCAAGGCGGGTCACAAGAAATACATCCGCCTGGAAATATAACACTCGTAATTCCGTTTGCTTCTTCTGTCGTAGTCACAAATGAATCGATTTTAAACTGCGTAAAGATAATTTCATCTTCCCAACAACATCTATACGAATACAAATAAAATCAAACAGTCAAGCACATACACGCGTGCACACGTGTCCACGCGCTTGCACAGACAGACAAAGAGCGAGACAGAAGAAGTTTTCCTTCTTCGAATGAATTAGTTTTACTACGCTTTTAGCAATATTCCAACAATATCACGGCGGGGAACACCAGGAATGGGCTTTACACATCGTACTCATGTGGAGAATCGAACCCGGGTCTTCGGCGTGACGAGCGACCGCTTTAACCCTTAGGCTACCCCACCGTCCCTCAGGTGTGAAGAAATTCCTCCACTATTTCCCTTAGATAACACACATGGCGTTTGTTTTCAAGTGTACGAGAATCATTTGACTAGAATCGTAAGTTTATTTTTCATGTAGAGTGAATCATGTGATTGAAATTGTAAACATTTCATGCTTTCTTCAAAGTATATGATCATTCAAATTTACAAATATGTTTCAGAAGTCGGAGTGTAAAATTAACACACAAACTGATTACTCCACCCAAAACATTTCAGTGGAATATTCTATTGTTAAAATGAGATTCAGACCCGTCTGTAGGTTCATGGAGTGTCAGGAAATACATGCCTGTTATCTTTGCCTGTCATGCGTGACTAACCCTAGTTTCAAATGTGAACATACTAGTGTTGGGAATTGGTTGAAATCTCACAATTGATGATTGCTCCATTACCAACGAAGAATCATCGAAAAAAAATGGTACGCGTCCTTTTTCAGATTTTCCTATCCAGGTTGTTACTGCAGAAAAGTATAACATGATAAAACTTGTTACTTTAAAGTGATGACTAATATATCATGAACATAAACTTCATGAACATAATAGTCAGTCATGACTTTTCAGTTAGTGAAGTGAGTTTTCTAAGAACTAAACATGTTTCGAGGCCCTGACAACTTCTAAGATATGTTCCATTGTCAAGTATTCCAAGACTAAAACAATAGTTCCAAAATCGTTTATGTTTGATTATGAGAAAATGTGATCGATTGCTTGGTCGTTTGGTCACTGCGACCAATCTCAGATTATTTCAATTAATCGGAACACCACTAAAACATACCGAAAGTGGGGCCTTGTATTTACAGAAAGCGAGTGTCCACACTAGTTGACCCCAAAAGCCCACTGGTGAATATCAGTGTATGGCTAGAACGAGGCATCTCCGGGATTCTCCCACTGACTGGCCATTTAAGAGGTCGGGGAAGGCAAAAACGTAACCTACCTTATTCCAAAACGGGAGCTAGATGTTTTAGAGGCCGAAACAAAGACATTGCCCAAACACACATTACAAAGTCTGCAGCTGTGATCAACACGGCGTATGTTCGAAGAAGGAAAGGGGCGGTGGGGTAACCCTTTGGTTTAAACGTCCGCTCGTCACGCCGAAGACCCGGGTTCGATTCCCCCACATGGGTTCAATGTGTGAAGCCCATTTCTGGTGACCCCACCGCCATATTGTTGGAATATTGCTTAAAGCGTAAAACTAAACTCACTCACCCACTCACTCGCGCGATCACACACTCACCCAACCACTCACTCTTTCACTCTTTTAACGTTGGTCATATTGGACAACACGTTCATTTCTGATCACCCATAAATTGGGCAAATATAACCATATTGTGTGGTTTAAGATGTTGCTTGCATACACAAACATCAAGTTCCCAAATATTCCCTTAAAGACATCCCGCACAATAATCCGAACAATTTAATTAACGTCAGTTTTCATCCAGGACCTTTCAGAAAATAGTTCCACGTCTGTAATGGATTCGTGATGTAGTACGGTGTGGTTCCACCTACTGAATTGTCTTCTACCCTGGTACAGTGTGATAGTTCCCGCATTCTCCACCAGGTGACGCACCTTGTTATCTCCAAGCCACCGAACATGAGGTTCCAGCCAGGAGATTATCTCTTCATCCAGATACCGGACATCGCCAACTCAGAATGGCATCCATTCACCATCAGCAGTGCCCCGGAGTTGGAAGGTACGGGGCTTTTATGAACGTTTTCAGGCTTTGGGGCGGTGTTGTAGCCTAGTGGTTAAAACATTCGCTCGTCACGCCGAAGACAAAGCTTCGACTCGGTACAATGAAGTCTATTTCTGGTGTCCCCGCCGTGATATTGCTGGAAAATTGCTTAAAGCGGCGTAAAACTAAACTCTGTTTAGACCCTTCACAGTTCTGAACTGTATCGAACACTTTGACTTTTGCGGGATTAACGTTAGAGGGAATGTCTTGACCACATATGTAAACAGTATCTTTATATAATAGCTGTAAGTGTTTCTCATAAACATTGAATGCAATCTTCAGATTGAAAGTATTATAATAATTGGCCACTAATATAGCGCTATACTCCATGATGGACATTACCCCGGATAACTCAAGCTGCCTGTGAGGCGCTATAAGGTTAATAGTCACATGACTTCTTCTACCGGGTACCCATTTCCTGTTGGGTCAATAGATGCAGGACAGAAGCCCTTCAAACTCATAAACCAAGCTGCCAAACACGGTCACCTATCCAAGACGTCAGGGACGGATAAAGCTTCTTGAGAAGGGGGTGGTGTGTGTGGGGTGGGGTGTGTTTGTGTGTGTGTGTACGTGCGTGCGTGCGCGCACTATTCATTTCCACCCGTTTTAAGATTTGTGACCTGCGCTCTACGCACTGGCTGATATTTTCCATCTCATCATTATACTTGTTTCTCACAGATCGCCTGTGGCTGCATGTACGCTCAGCCGGACATTGGACAAAGAAACTGTATGAGTATTTCAACACATACGAGGCAAAGAACTTGATGAAACCACACGCACATGTTAACAAAGGTACAAATGTTTTGGGGGAAACATTAGAGCAGATTCAAACCTAACGTGATACTGCATAACGATCCTTCCATTACATTGCTAGAAACTTCGTGTCCGTGAGTTTGGGTTTTGCTTTGTACATTGCTGCCTATGTGGTTGGAGCATTAGATGCAGACTAACGTTTAGGAACTGAATATATATAACATTGTGACCGAATAATAATGTATAAATGACTGTGTAACATTGTACATGTATATTTGATAGCATCATCTCCTGACTTGAGGACGAAGGTTATCGTGTTCCTGTAAAGCAAGCATACAATTTCAGATATTATTTAAATTTCTCTTCTTGATCTTTTCAGCCTTTCAGGCGACATCTGACGCCAACCGCCAGCTAGACACTTCCGTCAGCATCCGGTCCGTTCAGCTCATTGCAGATTTCGCCAAGTCAAGAAAATCTAAAAAATCTTTCAAGGTACGTTGATAAAAATATCAATAGTCCGAAAGAAGACGGGAGAAATATTTCCAAAAGATTTACCAAAAACAAATTGTTGCAATATTTTCGCTAAATGATGGGCCAAGTGGGGAGACAACCCTGTAATTGGTCTGCGTGTTCATTCTGAACAGATACTGAGTGATGTGCTCTGATCTTCACCTGCATGAGATGCGTCCCCTGAACACAATAGAAACGTAAAACTAAACTCACTCACTCACTACCGAAGACAAATTCTAACCCGCATCTTCACGGGTCTGTATATAAATGTGTTATATACCAATTCTAATACTACCGATATTAATCATAATGTCAATATATGTATATTGATGTTAATTGTTACTTTTATGTCTTTTTGACCAGTCACGGAAATCAACCTACAAAAGAAAAGCTGAGACCCATAAAATTGTCAACATCCAGGTGAGTTTTACTGTTCAGTTATCAATAAACACAATCTGAAACAGAAAGTGCTTAAACGCTACATGTCGGGCCGTTGAAAAAAGCATAAAAATTCGACTCATGCACGACGTTTATAATATATATGTATATAATATTTCGTTTCTCTCTCAGTGCTATATAGACGGACCATACGGTACGTCTTCGCGAGATATATTTGAGACGGAGCACGCTGTTCTGATTGGTTCCGGTATCGGCGTGACTCCCTACGCCTCCATCCTACAGAGCATCATGTACAGGTTCAAGGCCTACAAGAGATGCTGCCCCAATTGTACCCATGCCTGGTATGATGAAGTGCCACAACACGTCATGAACCTCAAGAAGGTCAGTATCACCTGGAACATAAACTCATGCGCAAAAGAAAGTGCACAGGTTGTGTTTCTTCCAATAAGATAAAAATAACAAAACCTTTTGATGAAATGGAAAATGTATGTTGAAACCCACTGCAATACACGTGTTTTATCAGCAAAATGACATTGTAACAATGACAGCGATGTAGTGATGACCACTGCAGACGGTTCCTACGATGCTGGAAGGTCAAGGCCATTCCACGCAGGGGTCGGTAGGCCCATACATGCCAGCAGGACGAAGTCGTCTTGTCACTGTAAATCGGCTTATGCGATGACCCAATGATGTGGCTGCTGATGACGTCACCGTCAACATCCAGTTTGCGTAGGTGAATAACCCGTAGATAGCGATCCTCTTGGGGTGTTGTGACTCTGGAACGTCCACTTCTGGGTCGATCACATGTCTGGCCTGTCGTACTGAAACGGTTAAACAGCCAAATATGGTTTGTCTTGTGCAACCCAATGTCCTTGCAATATCGCTGTTGAAAGCACCTATTTGTTTCATTCCTTTGGCCCGTTCTCGTTGCGCCGACGTCAATCTTGGCATTTTCTCGTGAGATTTCTGTCAGGTGATTGTTCAGTCTTCACGACAAACAAGTTTTATACTCTCTGTCAGAAAAGTGCTGGTGCATGGGACAATAATCACAATTTTGCAAAAATTCGTGCAAAACACTTACAAATGTTTTTGGTTGCATTTTGGCAAATGAAACATGATGGTTGCGTTCTATGCAATCAATGTTTTTCAATAATTTTATTAGTTAGAACGCATATTTGGGATTGCAACAACAATTACACCTGTGTACTTTCTTTTGCTTGTCAGTTTATGATGCTATTTTCATTTTGATGACAGTAGATTAAAGACAACGGTAACAATGGATGTTCGTGAAGGAATCATTATGAAAGAGGGTGAAAGTCTCCCGGAGAAAACTTGTCAGATCAAGCATGGGTTGCTGAAGACCAATTCTAATCCGGATGTTCACGGGTTATGGCCATGTTACAGTTTAGAAGCTATGGTGCCTAGGTTCTACGTGAACCCATCTGCTTCAAATCCAGGCCTCCGTTGCGTAGTTGACAGTGCGTTCGCCCCTATAGCGATAGGTCGCAGGTTCGGCTTAGTCATACCAATGAGCGTTTGCAGATTGTGCATATTTCTCAGCCTGACATTCGTCATGACTGCTTAAAGGGTGATCAGCAAGGAGTTAGCATACTGAACATGAATGGCGTGGCTACAGTGAGCATGACATCACAGTGGGCTACCACAACACACCGGATAACTCTCGCATGTTACAAATATGTCCGTCCCTACATTTATAGTTCAGGCATGGTCAAGTTCTGTGATGGATGTATGACAGCCTCAGTCGTTGCTCATGCTTTCACTCCCACATGGGTACAATGTATGAATCTCATTTCTGGTGCCCCCCGCCGTGATATTGCTGGGATATTGCTAAAAGCGGCGTAAAACTTAACTCACTCACTAATGCTTTCACTCACTAGTTTGAAGTTGGTTTCCTCTCGCATGACCAATTACAAGAGACATTATTTCCTTTTCTTCAAGGTCGACTTCATCTGGATCAACCGCGATCAGAAAGCCTTCGAGTGGTTCGTCAGCCTCCTCACTCAGTTAGAAATGGAACAGACTATGGAAGGCGGGCTGGGCAACTTCATCGAGATGCACATGTACATGACTGCAGCACTTAACAAGACGGACCTGAAAGGAATCGGTTTACAGATGGCCCTGGACCTCATCCATAAGAAACAAGACAAGGACCTGCTGACGGGACTGAAGACCCGCACACAGCCAGGGAGGCCAGACTTCAAGAAGGTAGTGAGATTGTATATGACGGATTCAGATATTTAACACAATACGTATGCTCTTTTAAATATTAACGTTCCGACCCACTGAAAATTCTCATCTTTTATCAATAACAATCGTGTTTTGTCTGTTACAAAAATCATGATTTTTTTAAAATTCATTCAAAATAATTTCGAGCAGATACAACGCGAAAAGTACATGTTAATATAAAGTACGTAAAACTTCAACTTTCCAAATGTTAACTTTTATATCAGACAATATTCAGGCTGTTCCAGCCTTTACTGTCTCCTTTTCGCAGTCCACCATTTTTCACGAATATTCCAAAGAGGCACTGACCCTTGCCCGAAATGCGTTTGTGATATTCAAAGCTTAAGGAAAATGTTTTTTAAAATGCCTTTTCTATCTGTGACTTAATTGCAATTACATATTTAGACTTATACTGCAAGTCCCTGTATTCATTCTAGATGAACAATTGACTCGCGTTGATTATGTGTGACTGGTGCCACCAGTTCGCTAGGATAGGTTCACTAATTCCCAAACACATGTCATCACCGCTATGTGATACAGAAACGTGAAGATCCGGGTTAGAATTAAATGATTATCTTCAGTAACACATGATTGTCGTAAAAGGCGACTAACGCGATCGTGTGGGGTCAGGCTCTTTGACTTGGTTGACACATGTCATCGTATCCCAAATGCGTAGAACGAGGCACATGCTGATCACTGGATTGTCTGGTTCAGACTCGATTATTTACAGACTGCCGCCATACAGCTGGAATATTGCTGAGTGCGGCGTAAAACTTAACTCACTCACCTATGTGATTCTAATCCATAACCCAGCGCTTATGACATGGAGGGAATCGAACAATCCACTTCGCTTTTAGTGGATATGTTTTTGGGTTATTGGGTGATTTGGCCAATTATTTACAAAATGTATGAAATACTTGCACATGTATGTTTCAGCTCTTCACCAAGATCGCTGCAGAGAAAAGGGGAAATGTGAAAGTCTTCTTCTGCGGTAATCCGATGTTGGGGAAGACAATAAAACAGCATTGTGAATCCTTCGGCTTCAGCTTCTGCAAGGAGAACTTCTAGTCGTCCTCCGAGACGTAGCGCCTTTGTACTTCCTCGTCTGTATATAGTTACGTATTCGCCAAACTCTTGCTACAAACTTAATCTCATTCTGCTGGAACTTGCTGTGATATACTTGTTACTTTGGATGAACGCTACTGTGACACTATTCCGGTCGCGTCATGGTTTGGAACGACATTCATGTCCTTCACATACTTCAAATCACCTTGGCCGCTACCAGCAAATGATTCAAGGACTCCACGAAGACCGTCTTCCAGTCACATATTATCTTCGTTGTGGAGGACTGCTTGCGACATTTACAAAATTCCCTGTTAGTGTTGTCAAAGCCAAATGTGTTGAGTAGTATTTCCTGAATGTGTGTCTGGCTGTTTGTCCAGCTGTCAAGCTGTCTGTCTGACTCTTTGTTTCTGCCAATGTTTGAGCCTGTGTTTGTGAGTGAGTGAGTGAGTGAGTGAATGAGAGAGCGTACACGAAGGCGCGTGCCACATATTTAGCCCCGCTTCCAGCAATATCCATGCTATGCAGGGGCGGTGGGGTAGTCTAGTGGTTAAAGCGTTGGCTCGTCACGCCGAAGACCAGGGTTCGAATCCCCACATGGGCACAATGTGTGAAGCCCATTTCTAGTGTCCCCCGCCGTGATGTTGCTGGATTATTGCTAAAAGCGGCGTAAAACCAAACTCAGTCAGTCAGTCCATGCTATGCAGCAGATAAAATAATATACAGTTAGCAACCATCCATGACGTTCAGATCTTGTATAGTGATCTTGCCAAGCTAACACAGCTTTATTGACACAATTGTCAAACGTCCATAGTTATAATCTATCTATTCTACCCGTTGAACACATTTTCATATATTGATATACAAGTGGTTTGAGTATGATTCAACGCATGGAACGTGCATCATAAATATCCATTACTACGATCCATCCATTGCTCGTACTACTGCAGCTGCTGCTACTACCAAGTATGCCCTTGTCAGCTGTTCTAGAACGGTTGGACGTATGAATTATAGATCATTATAGAAACCCATAACTTTTACTACTCCACTCAAACAAGACCTACTACTCCCACCATTATACTACTTCTTATACTACTATTATGACCACTACTACTACTATTTCTACTACTACTAGTTCTACTACTACTAGTTCTACTACTACTATTGCTATTACTACCGCTGCTACAACTAGCACTACTACTACTACTAGTACTACTATTGCTAGTTCTACTACTACTATTGCTAGTTCTACTACTACTATTGCTATTACTACCGCTGCTACTACTAGCACTACTGCTATTACCGCTACTACTACTACTACTGGTATTGATACTACTACTACTACTGCTGCTACTGCTACTACTACTCCTACTGCTACTACTACTACTACTACTGCTGCTGCTGCTACTGCTACTGACACTACTACTGCTACTACTACTACTACTACTGCTACTGCTGCTGCTGCTACTACTACTACTGACACTACTACTACTGCTACTACTACTACTACTACTACTCTTACTACTACTACTGCTGCTGCTGTTACTGCTACTGACACTACTACTACTGCTGCTACTTCTATTGCTGCTACTACTACTACTACTCCTACTACTACTACTCCTACTACTGCTACTACTACTATTACTGTTGCTGCTGCTTCTGCTACTGCTACTGACACTACTGCTACTACTACTACTACTGCTACTATTACTACTGCTGCTGCTGCTGCTACTGACACGACTACCACTGCTACTACTGCTGCTGCTACAACTATTGCCGATGCTATTATCCGCTTCCTATAGTATAGTAGCCTATATCTCTGAATTTGAATGGTGCTGTGTTGGATCACATCAAGGACGAGGGATGATCTGCCATGAGAGTTTCTGTTTACAGAATGGAACATGTCATTTCAATACTATTCCTGTGCAATATTTATAATATATTCTTGGTGTATCACGACAATCAAACCCGCTAATCCAGACGTTCTTTAAACCACGCTTCCTGATTGTCAGATCGACATCCTGGATTGACAGAGTTCCAATGTGTACAGCCTTTACCACTTTTGTAAATCTGCAGAGTCTTATTTCCCGGGGACATACTTTGAGAGAGTACATATAAGTTTGAAGCTATAACCTGTCTCGAACTGACGTCGTGTGATCCATACACGCAGATACACATTACAACTTTATTAACGGTGAAATATTTGTGTTTAAAATGTAGGTGTATGAGGTTATAATCTAGAAACATGCTTTGTATCAAGCCTGACCATGCTGTATTTCTCATCTTGCAACGATACTTACCAGTATCATTCTTAAATAACGACAAATATTTGTCTTTTTTAATTGTAATTATTATGCTTTGTGGTTGTATGGGACGCTGAAGGTGGGGGTCGGTGTGGACGGATATTGATTCTAATCTACTAACGAGTTTTCCTTTTTCCATTTTTTGTGAATCATGACCTATGATGTGAGCAAACCATGGCGCCTAATTGTGCTGTTGGATTTCATGAAAGCGAATCCTGATACTAATAAGGGAGGCAACTCCCCACACAGGGTCTCTATCTAAAAAAAACCGTTGTCTTTGTACGTTTATAAGAAATCCATATTTTCATACATTGTTTATATTTGTATATGTATATACAGAATGATTACATTTTGAAAAGTTACACATTTCTTGTTTTTTGTGATTGTTGTAAGTCTGTTAAATATCTCACACACATATATCCCGCTTTCAGAGAAACATGGCTGAACCAGCTTAATGCGTATTCTTGTGAGATCACAAATACACACCCAGATTTTAACATTCCTTGGTCGTAGCATCAGCACATCAGGCAGGACTTCATACCCTAATGCACTGTGCATCTACAAAAGAAATGTTTGGTATGACACATTGCAACCCACCACGACTATTTTACAAATTTATTTCACCAGGATGCAGCGGGATTTCTTCTACAAAGAAGTGGTGATTCAAAATTAAAATGAGACTGGACTTTCTACCACTTGATTTGGTTACGGGCCGCCGTCGTATTGCATTAAAACTGCTGGACAATCAACACAAAGGGACAGTTGATCATTGGAACCTTGTTGTCACCATACAGCCATATATTATAGAAAATGTTTTAGGCATTTAAATGTGGGGCCAAGGATTTGACGAACCATACGAAAAGTATTTGAAAAGACTTGACTGTGAGACAGTAATCATATTTCAATTATAAAACCGTCACCTATTGAAAAGCAGAAAATATTCCGCGCTGTTTTCTTTTCAAGTCATTTCACACGACATACGATAAAAAACTGGCATTGTTTATTTTGAGTAAGGAGAGTATGTTCACTCTTTGAACATTGTTACGGCTTGGTACAATTAAAGGCCATTAAACGATTCATAATAGAAGTAAAATGCGAAACCATTTCCTTTAGCCTTGTATTTTAATGTGGTCACTGTTGTGATAAAACACTGTTTCGAGAAATGAACACGATTTTAATCTGAGGGAGGTTGGCGTTGTTATGGAGTTTTAGAAGAACCTTCTTGTCAGCCGTGATACAATCTAATGTTATTTGTTTCTGAAGATTGTTCAATATATGACACACATTTCTCGGTATTTGATTTCCCGAGAAATTGTCATCAAAGAATTCTGTGCTGCACTATGGGAGGGTCACCTTTCGAGGAAAACTATGGGACTTTACAGATTCAAGGGTATGGTGTAACTAAATACATAAATGCACATATAAATACATCTTTTCATAATTAGGACCATATAATTATATTATAGTTGAGAGATAAATGCGTGACTCTGCTAGAAGGAACCATACAAATATATTCACCATTTGGAGATTAAACTATGCCTAACCCTAAACTCTGAAGGGGTGGTGGGATAGCCTAGTATTTAAAGCGTTCGCTCTTCACGCTGAAGACCCGGTTTTGATTGCCCACATGGGTACAATGTGTAAAGCCCATTTCTGGTGTCCCCCGCCGTGATATTGCCCCATTATTACTAAAAGCGGCGCAAAGCTAACCTCACTCACGCACACTGACAGATACTTCTTCCCACGGAAACCTTCATGGAGATCCGATATCGGATCAGTTAGAATCGATGGCCTTGTTGATGCATGTCATCGAATACTAATTGCGTAGATCTGTACTAATCATGTTAATCACCGTATTGTCTGTTCCAAGTTCGATCAGTTCCAGGATGACGTAGATGACGGTATAAAGTAAGAATATTGCTGAGTGTAGCGGTTAAGAAAAACAACTGCTAAAACCTTTACCGGTAGGAAAATAATAATAATAATAATAATGTGTCCATTTATATAGCGCCAAACTCCACACTAGGTATGCTCATAGCGCTAACAATCAAGGCACAGCACATTATAGCATTATTGGCAATGGTTGCTATTTTCTTTTCAGTCTCATATTGGTGAATTAAAACATAACTTTAAAAGTCACGATATGATAGAGTTTCAATCACGACGAAATATGATTACCAGCTGGTTGGAGACAGCAAATAAACATTCCAGGCATGTCATTTTATTACCTTTTAGGGTTACAAAGCAGCAACATATCAATCAGCTATCAACAATGAAAACATGATCAAGCATTCATAAACTGACGTACAAAAGAAAGTACACACCTGGTGTTTGGGGATTATTTGAAAAGTGTTGGGACTTTGATTGGCAACTTCGCAATTGGGCACGATAGCTGTGGTGTTTTGGCAGCATATTAGGAAAGTCTGTGACTTATATATCATTGTAAAAACAACGCTTTTCAAAACATTTACGTCGCTGTTTGGAAAGTAATCCAAAAGCATCAGTCACTTTTATGGATAATAACTTCTTTTTATTCTTTACACGACGTTTCGGAGCTAATTCTTGCTCCTTCATCAGGCTATTCATCGTTCACCTGATGAAGGAGCAAGAATTAGCTCTGAAACGTCGTGTAAAGAATAAAAAGAAGTTGTTATCCATAAAAGTGTCATGTATTCATGTTCGTCCAACTTCTAAATGCCTTTCAAAAACTTCAAAAGCACCAGGTGTGTACTTTCTCTTGAACGTCAGTACAAAAGTCATTTGTGTTCACTTCATTATGACAATGTGTCGTATTACACGAAAGTTCGCTAGTGAGATA